CTGGAAAGAGTACAGATGGTGTTGAGTTTCTTAGTATAATATTTTCCAATCCTTACATATAAAATGTAATATAAATGTATCGATATGTATAATATAAGAACCTTTAACAACTTTAATAACAATAAGATTAAATTATAAATGTAAAAAAAAATGATTGCGCATGGGATTTGAACCCATATAGTAATGCTCTTACATAATGCTTTAACTAATCATACCACACCATTAACATATAAATGGGACTTCTGCACAGATATTAACAGTTCTAGAAAAACTTTAATCATGATTTTCTTGAGAGTGCTTGAATATTCTGTAGCTTTGGTATAGTTTCAAAGCTACATAATTAAGTACTTAAACTATACCAAGCTATAAGCTATAGCTTGGTATAGTTTAAGTACAAGTAAATACTACACATCCACAAAATTATCTATAAATTGGTGATGACAACCTCCCAGGTTCCCCTTTTTAGTGAAGGAGTTAACAAAGCTCCTTCACTAAAAAGGAGCATTGTTAACCATACTTTGGGATAACATGGAACAGGTGTAAAGTACTATATTATTTTTCCGACTTTCCAACGATTATCGACACTACTGTGTGCCGGAAATAGCCGTTCCCTAACGGGTACTTTACGCGGATTCGCGTTAGTGTGCCAGGCCTGGACTTTAAGCGTGCACCGAATTAAATAATGACAAAGTTTGTCAATAACAAAATCAAATATTTAATTAAACTTCTAGTAATAAACTATATACAGTATTTAGTAAAAATCAAACAATAATTTATTCAATGAAATTCAACAAGAATCAATCCGACAAACTCAAATCAATCTATTTCTAACTTAATTCTATTCCCCTTTGGAATTCGACAAAATCAAAGAATTAACTTATAAACAATAATTCTTATAAATTAAAGATCCTAATCGTCACCTCAATATACTAGGAACCTATTTCCTCAAACTCTCAAGACTTTCTATAATCGTCGATCCACAAATCGAATAACTTCAAAATCCTATCGGACACCTCTCTCGTTCACTGCTACGAAGCTCACCAAAGCTCGTTGCTATCAGGAATTCACCTCGTTCGTTTTCACTTGAGTTAGAGGCTTTATAGTGTGAGGTGACGTCACAATTCTGAATGAGCTCACTCTCCTCATTTACATAATTATCTGTAACATTAAATTTTTCTCGTTTATCTGGCAGATTATTTTCCGACAATACTTCGCTAACCTTTTACATTATTCTTTTTAACAATTATCGGGATGCTTTATTATTTTAAGGTTTAGCGATTCCTAACTGGGTTGTGGGGTTTCCCCCCCCTTTTTCTCGGTGCGGACTTACTTTTTTCCGCTTGGGAAGCGCAAGTGTGCGCGAGTTTTTCTACGGCGCTTTTCTTTCGTCGGTGAGTTGGTTTTTCTTCTATTTTTAAGTTACTAAGGTGAATGGTGAGGAAACCTTCGTCTTAACTAAACATAAGCCCCAAACAAAATATAATGAAAGCAAAATAAAAGTAAAATAAAAATAAAGCTCAGACTTGGTTCCTTACACAGGAAGCTTTTGAATAGATCAAGACAATGCTCATAACTTCATTGTTATGAGTGCTTGGTCCTCGGAGAATGTTTGTTTATGAATGCCACATGGAACAGCAATAGAATGAATTTTAAAATAAAGTAGGTGAAAGTACTTGTTAATATGAAAAGCTTATAATGCTGTTCTCTATATCATATACTAATTTAATGATAACATGAAATCAGTTCTACATAAAGATAAATAACTAAATGCTTACTGGAAATATTAAATAAAAATAAACAAACACCTTTCTCTATTCCAGCACAATTTTAATGCGTTGTAAAACGTTTTCGATCGTTTTAATTGATCATCTTCAGTTCAAAATTCAAACTATATAACGAACAAAGTATTCGAAAAAATACAAAAAATTTCACATTGCTTATTTACAACTTAACGCTAAAGCGCATATGCGTACTTATAAAACGTATAGATTAAACCTAAGTAATTAAAAATAACATCATTATATATCAAGTAATATTATAAAAACAATTAATAACGCCACCTATGCGGTTGCAATACAGTAGTTAATCTACGTTATCATAAAAGGATTTCCAGGCTGTTGATAAACTTTCGGCATCTCTGTGGTTGATGCACTGCACGGTCGTATGCGCCTTGTGTATCTCAACTTTTTCCAGGTGTTTCACCGCTTGTATTGATCTTGTAGGTTTAATAATCACTGCCTGATCCCAGTATACTTCAATTCCTTGTTGCTTTGCAAACGCTGCGAGGACCGTGCTATCAAGGCTCCTATTTACTGAGTATTTGTGCTCATCAATCCTTTTCTTCAGGTTCTGCATTGTTGCTCCTATATATACTAGGTCGGAGTTAAATCTATGGTCCTTCATAGGTATCGAGTACACTCCTGTCATGCTATTACGCTCATATCTTTTCTTATCATTTCTTAGAAGCTTATACACTGTAGGATTACGTCTATAAATTATCTTTACATTCCTATTTCTGGCAACTTTCTTAATAATTTTATTTAGAGATGGATGGTGATTAATTACAATTCTTTCCCTTAGTTCAGTTGCTCTTTGTTGCCGGTTCTGTTTTTGCATCCTTGTTATCAGTGCATCAATTTCCTTTCTTCCGTATCCCTGTTGCTCAGCTATGCTCCGTATATACTCCAATTCTTTATAAGTGTCATATATGCTGGTACAATGTGTGTAAGCCCTTATAATCCATGATCGAAATGCTGCCAATTTGATATGTCTGGATCTGAGGAATTCTTAGGTATGATGATTGGTTGATAAACTGGCTTACGGTATATATTCGTTTTGATCTCACCCTCTTTGCATGTAATTGTTAAATCTAAGAAATTAACACTATTTTTACTCTCCTGGTCTAGTTCTAATGTTAGACCATAAGGGTTACTGTTGATTAAGCTTATAAAACGGTGTGTACTCGATATCTATGAAAGACCATAGATTTAACTCCGACCTAGTATATATAGGAGCAACAATGCGGAACCTGAAGAAAAGGATTGATGAGCACAAATACTCAGTAAATAGGAGCCTTGATAGCACGGTCCTCGCAGCGTTTGCAAAGCAACAAGGAATTGAAGTATACTGGGATCAGGCAGTGATTATTAAACCTACAAGATCAATACAAGCGGTGAAACAACTGGAAAAAGTTGAGATACACAAGGCACATATGACTGCGCAGTGCATCAACCACAGAGATGCCGAAAGTTTATCAACAGCCTGGAAGTCCTTTTATGATAACGTAGATTAACTACTGTATTGCAACCACATAGGCGGCGTTATTAATTGTTTTTATAATATTACTTGATATATAATGATGTTATTTTTAATTACTTAGGTTTAATCTATACGTTTTATAAGTACGCGCATGCGCTTTAGCGTTAAGTTGTAAATAAGCGATGTGAAATTTTTTGTATTTTTTCGAATACTTTGTTCGTTATATAGTTTGAATTTTGAACTGAAGAAGATCAATTAAAATGATCGAAAACATTTTCCAACGCATTAAAATTGTGCTGGAATAGAGAAAGGTGTTTGTTTATTTTTACATAAAGATTATAATACTTTTATTATGATCTTTGATTCCTTTATCTATGAACATCTATTGTATTAAAATGATGTGATGATGGTGGTGTAAAATGTTCCCGTTTACACGGTCTAAAAGAACACAGTACACACTTCTTTTCTAACAATAACAACACAATTACACTTTAATGTCTCCAAGTCAGCAAGTGACTCTCTGGCACTCCACAATTGAGCAACACTCTGGCACCCGACAATTATTTGATAATTACAATACTGGTTCCTGACAGGCCACACAGCTACCCACTCTGGTTAGCTCCCTGGTCAGTACTGACTTGATACACCACAAAGCAGCCCACAATTTCTCTCTCTCTAGGTGGGACAATCTCCCCGCATTCTTAGGGATACTATTACCTCACCCACCTGACACGTGTGACAAAGCTGTGGACTGTCCATCAACACTTGCTGACATCTGCACACCTGACACATGTCACAATTGAACTTAACACATCCATTCAAAAACTCAATTTATAGTTAAAGCCAAATGAACTGCTGAATTACAGTAGAGCATCGGTTATCCAAAAGAATTCCAGTCAACAAATTTAAATTTTTGCCAGTGCTGTGGCGCTGTAATCTTTGGCTATGTCTTCGGCTACTCAAATATTTTATGTTTTTGATACTAAATTAACTTCTGAAGTATAAATTTTTATTGTTTTTATATTTTTCAATATATTTATTTTGTACAAAATAAAAAAATAATTTTTAACGATACAATAGTCTTCGTTAGGCTTAACATCGACGAAAATTCAACACGAAGTGACACGCAACGGAGAAAAATTTCAACACGGGATAAATTAATATATTTTTTCGTACATAATTGGTTATCCGAAAAATAAGTTATCCGAACACCCCAGTCCCCAATTGATTTGGATAAACAATGCTTTACTGTATTGGGTTATGTAATTAATTAAATACTAAATTATTTGTCTAGAGGTAGGCAGTTATGCTGCCATTTCATACTAGATTCAATAATTAAAATAAAATAAATCTTGCACAAGATAGCAGCATAACAACCTGTCTCTAGACAAATTATTTAGTATTTAATTAATTACATAACCATATTATAGCCTGATAATTCAGAATTTCTTTTGAATGCAGTTTACTACCCATGTGTTTATAGTTTTTTTTTTTTTTTTAATAATTGGTATTTGTGTATAAATATTTAAAATCTAATGTTCTTCATAAATGTGTGTTATGTAATTTGACATGAATTCTTACCTAGATCTCATTCAGAATGAATCATTTATAACAATAACTGGTTTTTAAGATTTGAATGTGGTTAGTATGTTGCATACCTGAACTTAAATGATTTAACATAAAGAATAATATAAATGTAATTATTATAATAAGTAAATCATATAATTTTATTTTTTTTAAAGCTGGATTATGGAATGTTCTTACATTTGGTTATGGTAAAGGATCAGGAAATGCAGGAAAATCTGTCATGGAAGAAGCAATACTTGCCAAACAAAGTTTACTATTATTATTAGTTTTAGTAAACCACTGTACAAATGAAAAAGAATTTCTTAATCCTTATCGTCAAGCTTTATTCTCATTTACTAATTCTCAAGGTATTTTCTATTTTTAAATTTAAATCTATATTATATTCCAATTATTTAATATTTTTGTTTTTATCAGAGTTTTTACAAATCAATATAAATCATTTATAAATTTATTGATAAAAATATATATACAAAAACATGGATTAATTATATGCTATTGATTTATTATATTAACTTTAAACAAAAATTAACTTTTAATTTTAGTTATAGTATTAAATTTAAAATAAAATTATTACTTTTAGTCATCATTAATTTCAGTTTGTTACATTACTTAAGTGTAACGAATCATTGTTACATTTTTGTTTAACTCTATTCTATAATTTGCACATTTTTAGTGGTGATAAATTGTTAAATTTTTAATAAAAATAGCTAAATTAATTTTAAGTATTTGGTAAGAAACTGCAATAGAATAAATAATATGATAGTCAAATAGCCAAGATTTTTGAAGAAGCTGCTCTGAAGAATGCAAATTCAAATTTCAGTTTTTCAGATAGTCATTAGTAACGTTAGGCATTTTTGGTGCTGTATCAATTTGTATTTGAATTAGGTATGAAGAAAAGAAGACAGAAAATGTCATTAATTAAGTTATATAGGCCCAAAATAGTTGAGAAATTTGCACCATTTTAGCTGTTTCAGTTTCAGTGCAATCACAGCACTCAAATCTTGGGTGGGAATTCAAAAGGCAGCCACAAACCACAATTACATGTTGCCAGATTGGCAAAAAGTAGAAGATTGGATTGGGCTAATAAATAAAAAAAACATTATTTTTGCTATTAAATTTTTGTGTTAGATTATTTGCAAATTATAGTCATTAAAAATTCATTTTAAAAGGCTACAAATATCATAAATTTGTTATTTTTATAATGTCTTGAATGAAAAAAAATTTGCTATTTTAATGTTATTGGGCTGCAATTTGAAAAAATTGTAAACCTATAAATTCCTACTGTCCATCTGTCTTTCCTTAATCTCAAGAACAGGGATAGGATAGATGAAAGTCAAGACCAGATATGGAAAGCTTAGGGGCAGGAGTCCCTGATTAACTATATACGAACTTCTGATGAAAACCAGAAATCATGTTATTTCAGTTCAAAAAATTTTTTCCCTGAAAGGTGACTGGCACAACTCTGTTGTTAAAGGAATAGTATGATGTACAGGGAGCCACTACTAATTTGAGGTGGAGAGTATATATCATCCTTTCTTAAAGTGGGCAATAACGTCCCCTTGTGGGCACTGGAGGCTTTCAGGGGGGCACTAGAAGGCTCAGTGATTAAATATGAGTTTTATTTCTTCTCATTGAAACATTCTTTGATCTGAGAAATAGGATATGGGTCACATCCTATTTATCCTATCCATATAATAATGCATGTTTAAACATTATATTTTGCAATAACTGTTTTTAAGATATGCAACAAATGGTAAAGTAAAAAGGTAAGTTAAAAAAAAATATGGGGGCACTAGATTTTTTTTATCTCAAAGTGGGTGGTGGTTGAAATAAGTTTGAGAACTTGTGGTATATATATTAAATTAAATAAATTAAAATTATGATTAAAAATTGCAGCCAGACATTGTGATGATGTCACAATAAATAATTGCTTGTAAAATATAATTCATCTTTTAGTGTAAATTATGAAAGCTCAAGTGATAAAGATGAGTATTTTGGTAAAACTGTAAATTTGTTTTTTGGAATTATTTTTACTGAATATAAAGCATATTGTGTAAAAAATTGTACACTTTGTAATGTAGAAGATTTGAAAAAATTTAGTTGCATATGAAATTATCATAATTATCATCAAGCATATTTGCATCAAATTTTACCCCCCTTTTAAAATTTACTTTACTATTTTGTCTTTTGTTTTTGTCCTCAAATGCCTAACACTAGTCATTAGAAATTACTCAGTGTGTTTTGGCATGGGTATGTTAGGTTCCATACTGGTTCAATGTCTGGGACCAGTTTCACAAACACCTCATATCATAAGTTATGATAAATTCATCGTAAGTTGCCAGATGCAAAAAGTTGTATTTACAAAGCACATTGTAAGCTATTGTATTGTAAAAAGTCTTGTAAATACTTTTATTACATCTAATATCTAATATCGCTTGTAAGCTGATGTACTGGGAAAGGTGGTGTTTGAGTATTTGGTTCTGTTGATAGTCAATCATTTTTTTTTTTATTTGTCTCTTTGAAACTTTTGAGTTGTTAACAAAAATAAAACTAGTTAAATAGTCAAGATGATAATTACATTTAAAATTTACAAGAAAATAAAAAAAAATTTTTTACAAGAAATTAGCAGAAGAAAACATCATTTGCTAATTTATTCATCCTACATCTTTTCCACATCTCAAGAACAAACAGTCTTATGATGGAATCGACCTTTTATTGTATGCTCTTATCTACCTCAATATGTAAAATGTATAAAAAATTTTTCATTGGTAATGACTAATATTGTAAATGTGTATATATATTAACATTACTTGTTTTACTAACTATATTAATCTTGCAAAAATTTAAAAAAAATTTTATTGTAAATTTTAAATGTAATTATTGTCCTGACTATTTAGTAATTTTACTAATGTTAATTGTTACCAATCTCTTTTGTTTTGCAGTAAGTGCTATGATGTATTTTGTGAATATGAAATGTAAAATATTGTTAGTTTCTGGTAACTGTATGATATTGAAAGATTAATATGTTGTACCTTATGAGACATTCATGAGTTCAGGCCCCGGATGATATTTAGGTTTAACAAGGAGAGCCTACAGCTTTGGGGTAACGGATTTTTATGATCTTTGGTGTAGAGGTAGTACACCATGTGAGTGTACTACCTGTAAAATACTAAAGTGCAATACTCAAATATAATCGAGAAAATTGAACTTAAAGTTTTTTAGCACTTTATATATAAATTATACGTATTTCTATTTGACCGTCCTGTGGCAGAGTGGTAACGAGTCCTATTCATAAGCCTGAGTTCTCGGGTTCGATTCTCGCGTATAATTTTTTTTTTAATTCATAAATACTTATAATGTATTTATTTATTTACTCATTCATTTATTTCTTATTATTTATTTATTTTAATTTAATTTCTACTATTCCAAGTCTAATATTTTTATACTTTTGTTGACAATAACGGCGCATTCTTGACACCTATGTGTCAACTTTCCCATCTAATTGTTATCACTAACGGTGACCGATCTAATTCTCACTAGGAGCGTTTTTTCTATCGGAGTTCTTTTTCACTCACTCTTTAACAGTTCGTTTCTAAATTTCGACACGAATAGACGTATTTGTGTAGTAAAACTTATTTTGAAAAATTATTTTATAATCAAAAAATGTCGTCAAGAGAAGCAAGTTCTTCACGTTGTGAGGAAAAAAGTGTTGATGATACCTCTTAAAAAAGCAGCATTTATTTGTTGTTCTTGGTGTAGACAGAATTTTTGTTTTGAATGTTTTTATCATATGTATCATTCACGATCATGTACAGTACATCTGACAATGATATGTAATTATATAATATTGCTTCAATAAATTATATTCATTTTTCTTGGTTATATTTGAGTTTTGCACTTTGCAAATTAGTATTTCACATCACTGTATAGAGAGTTATCATCAATAGTTTTCTTGTCACAACGTGAAGAACCTGCATCTCTTGACGACATTTTTTGATTATAAAATAATTTTTCAAAATAAGTTTTACTACACAAATACATCTATTCGTGTCGAAATTTAGAAACGAACTGTTAAAGAGTGAGTGAAAAAGAACTCCGATAGAAAGAACATTGGGTATGTTTGTAAAGTCGAACGAGTTAAACAAGAATGACATCATCATTATTCCTATTTCGTTAGACTTTTCGAACAATTCGTTACTAACGCGTTTAACTCGTTATTATTAAAGACTTCGATATAAAAATGAAAATTTGTGAATTGGCAAAGAAGTTCGATTGTCGGTCAGAACAATTATAAAAGGCGAAGAAAAAAATTCTCGAAGCTGTGAAAAATGCTCAATCTTTAAATTCAAGCATCATTCGTAAACGTCACAGTATTATCGCTGAGATGGAAACAATGTTAAAATTATGGCGTAATAATCAAGTAAATGTGAAAAATTGTAAAATAATATAGGCCTAATTTGTTATACATATGTATTATCTAAGATTTTATTAAACATTTTTTTCTAAATTATTGTTTT